TTGTCAAACTACCTATAAACAATTACATCATTGCCCCCAAAATAAATTCACTGTTACTGTTCCAAAGAAAAAAAAAAAAAAACTTGCTTACTTCCTACTTATAGCAGTTTCTGATATAGTAACAACTTAGTTGCAGCTACTTTTTCTTCATAAGACTCTAACAAAATTCATGTCTAAGAAATTTCGCCTTCAAACACAACATAACATATTTCTTGGTACAAAAACTCTTAAACGTGAAGGAATAGAGTTGTCAAAAACTGACCCGACCTAAGATTATATCATTGTACACGACTAACATAACTCATACTAACACGACCTGACCTGATCTGATATAACCCCAATACTCGAATTGACAGCTCTAAATTTATATTCTCTCACAGTCAGACCAATTCATACCACTCCAAATATTTGTTTTTTCTCAGAATAAAAAAAACATCAATCAATCAAAATACAATCAATCGAAAAAATCGAAAGAGATAAAAATAAAATAAAATCGAAGATCACCTGCTCACCCATAGGAACAGCAAGACGGCAATCAGAGACCTTACTTCCCATAACACAATGAACACGCCATTGACCAGAAACCCTAACAAAAACGGTATCCAAATAACAATCAACCTCCAATGAAACACTATTCATCTGAAGCGGAATCAACGCCGGAGGATCACATCTACCATAGACATACGGCTGATAGCTCGGAATATCAGGATTATCGACGATTCCAGGGTCGGTGATTACGGCGTACACCATTGGAGCTGTCGGAAGGTAAAAGGTCGGATTCTTCGACATCGATGGCGGAGGTTTTGGCGGTGCTACTGACCTATCTTTGCCGAAGTATAATCTCTTTGAGAGCTTCAATCCTTCTTCTACCGCCTCCATGAAAGCTTCTTCGGCTGCTGCCATTGATGAGAGTAGTGGATTTCTAGGGTTTGGTGATCGAAGAAGAAAGAGGGGAGAGAAAATGAGAGGAGAGAGAAAGAGAGTTGTTATGGAGCTGAGAATAAGTTCTGGAAAGAGAGAGGAATGGAAGGTGTGTTAGATTGGAGAAAAAGTTAACAGAGAAATACAGTTAGGCATTCATGATTAAATGAATGGACTGTTGTAGTATAAGATAAAGTAATTATTTTTCTTTTTTGAAGAAGTAATTATTTTTCTAATAATATCATAATTAATACCTTATACTTTGTATTTAAAGTAATGATCATTCATCTCAATATCTACTTTTCAGATATCAATAACTAATAATTTTTTATTTCATATTCCGTAATAATCAATATTAATCATTATGTCTCTTTATTGACAGTCCCTTATGGCTTAATTAAAGTTTTAATTTTTTTTAAAACAAGTCCTAAAATAATATTCCCTCTGTACCTTAATACAACGCCTCTTTTGAGCATTTATTCCTCACATAATAAAGAGATAGAATTATTGTATTAAGGAACGGAGGGAGTAGTTTATATTTGTTTTCCAACTACTATTAATATTAATTTTTTATCAAAATTTTCTCCAATTTACAACAATATTCGTGCAAATTAGCTTCCCTAGGTAAATTTTGCATTTTCATATGTTTTATTACTTTCGCTCTACTTTTTTGTCTATCCTATATAAATTTATCTTTCTAATGTACTTTTACTACTTCTAATTTAAGTTTCTTAATTCCCGTGAAATTTCACCATAAAAGACTATCAATAAGAGACAAAGGAAATAGTCGTTAAAATAATACATTGATAAGTGTGAAATCACCGTGTTATTAAAAAAGGAGAAACATTTATTTGGGGGTTATTTTACATTTATTTATTGATTTTGGGGGTAAATTTGTTGAGTTGGTCTACCATATGGGGCTAATAAGCTTTAACTTTTAGGTTAGATACAATAAAATTGTACTCGATGTTAGTTAGAATGTGTGTTAATGGTTTTGATGATGATTATAATAATTAATGATGTGTTAACCAGAGTAAAAAGGAGAGAGAGAATAGGTAAGATAATGATAATGACATTATACACTATCTAAGAATAATATTATTCTACTCCGTAACTTTTTCTTCTACCTTTATTTGTGATTGAATTGATTGCTATTAAAAAACTCTTTGTAGGAATTAAACTAATTGAATTATTAGAGATTACTTGGTATGGAGTACTTGCTATTAATCATTCGTCCATGACAATTAATCATTCGTCCATGACAACAATTAAATAGATTGATTAATAATATTAGTATTAATATACGAGTAAATATACAACACTTAATTTATGTTAATATGTTAGATATTTGCTTTTTTAAAAAAATAAAGACATCAGTTTAATGTTGTTTTTTCTGAGTGATATAATAATAAAATTTTTAATTTTCCTTTCTCTATGCCATTAATTTTCAAAATAAGATTTTGTTCATTTTACCTTATTTCTGTTGAAGTAAAATTAATTTCACTGAATCAAAATTATTTTACTGATTTTTTATTGTAATTTTGTCAAATAAAAAAATAAAAATTACATGAAATTAATTAATAAAAAATTTAATGGTCAAAGTTAGAAAAACAAATCTAAAAATCAAAATAGTTTAACGGTAGAGTAGAAGTATTGGTTAAACATTTACCCCAAAGCAAAATAAAGTATCTTCCAATCTTAGAAAGGCCACTAATTTTAATTTAATTGCAGGTCCAATTTCCAAAATGAACACATATACTTTGTCAAAATGAAGATAGAAAAGCAAAGAATGAGCAAAACAAAGAGGTGACCGTTGGAAAAGAGTAACGTTATGGTCACGTGAGAAGAGGTGAGGTATCTTTTTCAAAATGACGTTAACGCATAACGGTAACTTGATCAATGGAACAGTCATGTGAAAACGCGGGGATTGTGAATACCGGTAAATTTATTAAACTAATGGCGCGCTGCCCACATGTGGATGTTATCGTTGATTAACACGTCGCCAAATTATATTTGTATTTATACTCGTGTCCAATAATAATACCGAGTATTATGCTATTTCCAACCATCAAATTAACAACGAGTCTTTATTAATTTCTCTTTTTTTTTTTAGTTGAGATAATTTCACTTTTACATATTTATAAACTATACTTTAATTGACTTTGTAATTTATAGCTATGATAAATCATAGTTTAATGGGATCTTATTTGAATCGTCTCAATTTATATACGTAGTATTTTATTAATATTTAGATTTTATAATTTTACATGTCAAATTAGAGATATTAATTGTTAAAATAGTGCGTTGGCAAGCATGATGAAAAAAAATGTCAACTAAAAAAATGGAGATAGTATATAGTATACTAGGGAGTCTTATATTATACAAAGTATATTCATTGGATAAAAATAAATTAAAGTTAATGCATAATGTACTCTCTCCATTAGATATTATTTATGAGACATAAACTATTTTTTTTTTTTTTTTGTAATTAATAGTTAACACTTAATAGTAGGGATGGAAACGGGTCGAACTCGAAACGGATTATGCTAAATCCGACTCCGACCCGCCAGGAAGTCGGAGGCTAAATCCGACTCCGAGACTCCGACTTCATTGGCAACGGGTCAGACTCGAAGCGGATTATGCTAAATCCGACTCCGACCCGCCAGGAAGTCGGAGGCTAAATCCGACTCCGAGACTCCGACTTCATTCTCCGACCCATGACCTCCGACTCCGATCCAACTCGACTTCGAGTTTTTTTTTCGTTATTCAATATACTTTGAGAAATTGGGATATTTGGGCCTTTACAACCCACACTCAATGCCACCATGACCCACACAAAAATCTACTATTCATTGGAGTTGGAGTCGGATAATCCGTTAGAGTCGGACATTTGTCAGAGTCGGATTTTTTTCTCGGATTTTTTGTAGGATCCGACTCGGAGTCGGATTATTTTAACGCAGTTGAACTCGAATTACTTTTTTCTCGGAGTCGAAGTGAATTTTTTTACCTCAGATCGGGGAGGAGTAGGGACGGATCCGGACTGAATTGCCATCCCTACTTAGAGGAAGTAATAGGAACAAAAGGGTTATTTTACCTCGGGTCTAATAACCCTTTTGTTTGGGGCAATGCTGTTTTTGTCGTTAATTGACATTTTAGTGGGGCACTAACTTCTTTGTTTTAGAATAAGATATTTTTTCATTAATTTGGATGTTGATTGAACTTAAATGGCCTACTATTGGATGATTTGGTTGTCCTCACTCTAATTGTATAAATGGAAGTTGGTGGTGTTTGTACATCATGGGCCAATGACACAGATCACACAATCCATCATTCCAATGTCAATCTCTATATTATACGGAGTATTTAAAATTGTCTCATGCTGTTTATACGTAGTATGTTACTTCGTGTATTAAGGAATTGTATTGATCGAATGAATATGTAACTTTTTTTTTTTTCCTTTTGTAAGTAAGGTTAGAAATGAAATAGAAAGAACAGGGTTCAATTATTGGGGAAGTTGTTTTATTGTTCCAATTTCCATTATCAAACATTTCATTTAATTTTTTTAAAAATGCAATACTTATCTTTTAAGAGTCAAGTTTCACAACTTATGACCATGGCTTTAATGTTTAGTCCATGAAAATTCACAAAAGCCATGTAGATATCTTGTTATGTTAATTTATATGAAATATTTTTTATGAATCTGGCAACTAATTTTTTACTCAGTCTGATTTAATCATGGCTTTAATTTTTAATTCATGAAAATTCACAAAAGCCTTTCTAAAGCGTATCCCAAAAAAAAAGATAGACCAAAATACCTTATTAAAAAAAGGTTCAGCATCCATAAATCCATAATAGATTATTCGAAATAAAATAAAATAGATTATTCGAAAAGCCAAGTGTAAAGTTTAAAACTTAAAAGTCCACACAATTATTTTACTTTACTTTCCAAAAGTGGGATCATCAGTCATCACCCTCCTGAAGACATTCCTTTGGCTATAAATAAAACAAAGGTGGCACAAACTGATCAGCTAGAAAAAAATATTGAATACTCTAATAAATTTAAAATATCCGTAAGATAATTGCAGGAAAAATGGCTATCATGGCGATTTTTTTCAATTAACCAAAGAATAAGAACATAAATCAAGATCTATGTGTTAGTATACATGTCGAAACTGAAATGAGGGGAAGAGGAGCTGGAGCAAATGAGCAATAGATGCCACTAAAAAGAATCTGCAAATCACATTTATCCAGCACAAACTAGCATTATCAAGTATACAGCAGCATCTTCCACCATATTGCTGTTACTTCATTCCTAGTCACCCAAATACTGCCTTATCCGAACATTTAAAGTGCAAACTCGAGCTGCTTCTCTCCATGCAATGCTTCATCCTCGGGTACTCACGGATCCACCAAACATTCATTGAAGATGAGAGTGACACAGAAGTACAAAGAGCCTCAGAGGAAACCACTTTGGCTGTGTGGGCGTATACTCATGCATGCCTTATGTTAAAACCCAGAAGCTCTCATAAAGCTGAAGGACGTATTTCCGGTACTGACCTCTGTTAGGGTAGTTATGTCAAATAGAATTATGTGTCAGAATGTCACTCGACTATCTTGTGAAAAAGTTCCATGTATTTGGTCCAAAATGAAGTGTGAATTCAAGTGTTGAGGGTTCAACACGAGTATTTGAGGTCAATTGAAGAATCTGTGTAACCCATCATACTCTAAAATCTGCCTAATGCTGAAAGCTGGCCAAAAAGGATTTCATTCCACGCATCAGGAATCCCAGGCAAACACCAATGCAAGCAATCTTGTCCAGATGCCTGCCTAGGTTTGATAGTATACCTAGATATATGACCTTCGTCTCTAAGCTCGGAAAGAGCTGTAATATCTAAATATCTCACATTTGTCCCCTTCACTGCCGAAGCAGCTATTGGATCACCACTCTCCTCTTTTAGAACCTCTTTACCCTTAGAAAGCGGATTAATATTATCACAAGTCCCACCCGAATTCCAATCTCCATTGAAGAAATGTCGTGGGGACAGAGAACGATAAAACACCCTCAATTTTGGACGCTGCGGGAGCTGAGAGTCCACCCACTTGACTATACTGTGGACAGTGAAATTTTTCGCCTCTGCCACATTCTTGTTCGGGTTGGGTACACCTCCCACATGCATGACCCAGTGATTTCCATCAAACTTGCCCTTATTCCAGTGGTGTCCAGTATTAAGAACTATAACATCGAATTTATCAAGGTAGCGGCTAAGAAAAGATGGAGGGCGATCAAGGTGCATGGCAACTTCAGAATTTTTGTCAGATGGGTTCACAGGCTGCAAGTCACAAAGACATGCTGACCAGTAAAAAAGGATAGTTGTATTCGTGCGTGTGAAACGATGAGCCCATCCATCAGGCCGTATGGCACCCCGGGCTTTCACTAGACCATATTCCTTACCCACATCAACGACATCATGCCTTAACCTACCACCTGATACCATGCACATTAAAGACTGATATTGCTGTCGGCCAAGCGAATCCCCAATAAAAGCCAAGGTTTTATTCCGCATCCTGGAGTACAGAATAAAACAGGTTCAAGATAAGATGGTAAAACCATAGTATTCTAGTAATATCAATTGGGCATTTAGTCCACAGCCAAAGGAACAAACCATGAGAAAGAACGAACAAGGAACGCACAGAGATGACTTTAAAATATAGACATGGATATTTAATGAAATGACTAAAACCAATTCCTGGGATTGGGAATGATGGTATTGGGGGTATTCAGGAAAGGGAAATGGAATCAACAAGGACGATTACCTTAGTTGATATTTGTTAGGTCAATATGATCATTCCCATTCCCCACTCAATCACCCCAAAGTCATCTACTCTCATTCCCCCTGCCCCATGGTATTTGGATTCCCTTTCCCTAAGTCACCAACACCTACGCCCCACCAGCCACCTTTCTCACCACCACAACACCCAACCCACGCCCGAAACCACCATCACCTATCCCAAAACCACCAAATCCGCTCAAAACCGCACCCGCCCTGCCGAAGCCACCCTAACAACGCCTAAACCACCATCATCTAGCCCAAAACTACCCCCACCCACCCAAAATAGCCTTACCACCTTGAATTCAGCCCTCACCTACTCAACAACCACCACTGACCATCCAAAAGCACAACCCTAAATATTTGGGGGAAAGTCCAAGAGAAAAAAAAAAACCTCATTTATCATCAATTTTATGGCTTTAGATGATCAAATTCGACCATGAAAGCTTCAGACTGGGAGCTTTTATATTCGAATTTGACCTTTAATACCTTATAAATTACCATCAATGGTGGTTAATATATAAAAGGAGAGAATGTGATGACAAAGACATGAAAGAGGGTGCTAGTGATGGAGGTGTAGCAAGAAACATCAAGGGCGGGAAACTGACGATGGAGGAAGTGGTGGAGCATGGATGAGAAGTGGAAGAAAATAATAATGTCATCCAAACAACATGTTATATTAAAGGGCGTTGCTTTCTTTTTCCACTCTATCCCTTTCTTGATTCCATTCCCTTTACCTTATGTTAACCAAACGCCCCCTAAATGTCTAAATGCTGGATTACATTTTGTCATTTCTACACTTAATCAAAACACTTGTTGAGAAAGAATATCCATATTTTAATCTATTATTATAAGCTTACGAGAAGACATTGAGGAGAAAAATCCTAATCCATAGTTTACAAGTATTATCACACATCATCAAAAAACTTCAGTTACCTATTTTTTCAAAAAGAGGACAATACAAAAATAAATATTAAGTAACTTTCACGTTCAGAGGGCAAAGTCATACTATGGTGATTGAAACCGCATTAAATACCACCTTTTACCCAAAATTAAACGAAAAATTATACAAGCACCTTAGTATTTATATACTAGTTGTTCAAAAAGTAGTAAAAGTAGCACCAAAATAATTTGGTCTCAAAACGTTTCATACTAGAGAGAAGAGACATGTGAATGGAGAAAGCTTCCAATTGATGACAAATAAAGAATTACACGATGACAAGATTGCCAACCTTCCACAGACATTCCCACCCCAACCTTCAATAGAGATAATAAAAGATATTTTTAAAAAAATAAAAAGAAAAATCAGACTACTTAACTTTTTATTGAGAGAGTATTGCATTACAGGAAAAATATGAAGAGGATGATACCTTCTCAAAAACTTTTTTCCGTTAAATTCTTCCATTTCACAATCTTTTGGTTGCCAGCGGAACTTTTCAAATGAAAAATCTGTTCGATCTGTCAGCCTACATGCCCACATCTCTGACAGCCATTGCAGACAACGACCTCCAGAATAGAAAGGGCGATTATCATCTGCAATCCAATTCCCTTTGGAAAAATCGCAGGCTGAAATTTGAATACACAAACGTTCAAGAAATAATTGATTTGGAGATACTACTGGAAGCAAATGGTAACATCAGAGGACACAGAAGCAAATTTTCCTAATCATTTTCTTCCTGAAAGCTTCTTTTATTTAATGTATAGTTCTCTTACAGTTGTTCGCAAGAGAAGGAAAATCAGAAAGCTGAAGGGTAACCCATCTGGACGCTCAAGATCAGAACTCTTTTTCTTATAAAAAAACTAAATAATTAAATTTTTTAAAAAAATAATATTAAAAAAAATGAAAATTTGAAACTTCTTCTTGCCCAAAAGGGTTAGCAGTTAGCCTTGTGGGTCAAATCATAAACAAGTCCCACAAGCAAATGAGCATTTCACGAAGTCAATTTCAAAATTGACCAGTTAAACTTAATAGACTGGACTGTTGAAATTACAAAAATTGTAGCTTTAAACTAGGTGACAGCCCAATAAGCTTTACATACGCATGGTATGAATGAAATATCTCAAAAATCAAATATCAAATGCTATCTTTAGCAGTCTAAAATCTAAACCAGGTATACAACACCAAGTCACCAACTAAGAAATAAATATAATTTTGGATACCTTTTTCAATGTTAATTATTAGGTAACTATTCAATTCTAGTGAGAACTTGCACAAATATAAAATGAAATAAATGATATGACTAGAAGATTTGCATCCAGAAAAAAAAAAAAAAAAAGAAAAAAGAAAAAAAAAAAAGATTTGCATCATACTTTGGTTTTTAACTTGATATGATACATTGCCTTTCTTCTTGCCGGTAACCACAGAACTAGTATTCACAGAGTCCACTGGCACTGATGCGTCCCTGAGTTTTTCTTTAAAATTTTCTCCATCCTCTGTACAAGTGTATACAATTATAAAGATTAATTCCTTTGAAATATTATCTAAATAAAGAGAAACATCCAATGTGTCAGTCCCAAAACAAATACGAAATATAAAACACCAACAAAAAGAGCTCATGTACATCCAAAAGAAAAATATACTAACCATAATTTTTTTATTTGTTCTTATTACCTCCTATTTTTTTCTACTCACTGTAATCCTTTCCGTGTTGGAATAACCCCTTTACCATCTTACCCCTCTCACCACACAATGTGTAAACCTTTACCCACAACCTTTCTTTATTCACCTTTGCCTTACACTCACTTATGTTTTTATTTACACTCACACACTCTCTATATTTTTTTACAGTCTTCATCCTTTAATATGGAAGGTGCACATTGATGTAAACATATAAGATATAAGTAGAAACTAGAAAAATAGTCAATTTTATGCTTTACTAACAAAACCAAAAGAAGATGTATTCTTACCACATTAATTTCTCAACAGAAATCCTAAACAAAGTGTTCTACCAACTATAAATATGTGATATCTAAGCAACTCCTTGATTACATTACCTCTTCTGCTTCTTTTGTCATATTCTTCATGCTTATTTGATGTCTCATTTTTTGCAGGAAAGGGCAATTTGTCGGCATCCTTCTTCTTTGGCTCCGAAGAAATGTTTTTCATAGGGAAACCAATTAATATATCTGTGCAACAAGGGCCAAAAAGAAATAATAAGTCAACCAAAGACAATAAAAAGAAGATCAATCAGTCTAAATCAAGCGATAGGTCTAAGCTAAGGAGGTAGAAATGTATTGTAACATTGATATAAATAAGATTAGCAGACAGGAGTTTCCAGAAGTTACAAAAAGAAACAAAACAGAAAATGGATGGGTGTAAAGAAGTAACACGAAGTGTTAATCATACCAAAATTAGTAAGTGGACATATTTTAAAACTAATACTGAGGAGTTGTAGCAGAGAATTAAAAATATCATTATGAAAATTACATAAAATATTGCAATATGACTTATAAGATAAATAAAAACATAAGCAATTACGCAGAAAAAAAAAAGAAAAAAGAAAAGAAAAGAAAGTATTAACAATAAGATATAAATGATATGCAAGAGTTAAAGCAATGTAAAAAGATTAATGCGAGTTTATAGGTAGAATGGTGCAGGAAGGAAAAGGCCAATAACCAAGCTAATGATTAAGCTATTAGCTTTGAAATAAGAAAGATAATAAAAAAAAAATTTGAGGAAAGAAAAAAATATAACACTCATGACTCATTCCACAAAGTTCCATTAATCACTAACAATCTAACATATACTTGTATCAATCTCACTTGTGTAAAATTTCAATTAAATAATATGTAAAATATGACCTTATAGGACATCTAATGTTAGAAAAGTTCACAACCTTTTGGGAATCAAGGAGTATATGGGACCTTTCTCATAAGAAGGGTATCACAGTAAACTAGAAAAGAAATGACTAATCCCATTTTTCATAGTCCTTCCAATTTTTACAAATGTAACAACCTCTTCTCATCCCATTTTTAGTTGATTTAAATTCAGCAAATAACTTGTTTTATTCCATACTCTCTGCAATTACCTTTATCTTCAATTATAAATGACTAAAAAATATCACGTTTGGCTCATTAACAGCAATGCAGTGTTGTCGCCTAAACAATCAATCACATACGCCGTACAGATCCACCAATCCCAGTGGAGTTACCCCTGTTTTAAAAGGAAGACTGTTGGAAGGTGGCTTATGAACAAGAGATAGAAAAGGACGAGGCAATCAGCTGATTCAGCTCCATGCTGCTGCTGGGTGTTGCTGCAGCAGTGCAACATACAAGCCAACAGTTGATGCCTCATCTGGGAAGTCACAGTTAATATGTAACATATGATAGATAATCATATTTTGAGGGAGATAAGGAGACAGGTACTGCTCCTACACAAGAAGCACCTAGTAGCTAAAGCAATCTGTATACTGAATATGTATTTGTTTCACCCTCTCATTGAAGCATTTGAATAGTAGCTCTAAATGGCTCGCATACCCTGAGATTGCTAAGCACATAGCCACATACTAACCAAATAAGGTGTTCATACAGTAAGACAATTAGGTCCCAGATTTTATAGGCCTACATATATAGCCCTACAATTTCTCCTTAATCTTATATTGGCAACTACATGTTAACACCAGCATGACACGCTGATGAGATATATAGTATCAATGTTTGCTGATGTTTAACAAAATACAGAGTAATTTTGTAATTTTCATGTAGTTTTGGACCTACATGCCATGTAAGTTGAGCTTTATCGTCCTTATATCATGAAACCCGACAAGCTAGTGCACATGAAGTCGATAATAATATTGCTATATGAGATTTTGTAAGAGAAACCCAAATACATAGCATAAAAATAGCAATGAACAAATGAAGTTAACTGATTTAAAAATGCATTTAGAGAATCTTAACAGTCCACTCAAGCAGTTAAAGATAGCTTGCATTCCACAACTTTCATAGTGATATACTGATATAAACAGAGTGAGAACATAAAAATGAAAGAATGTGTCATAAAGAAACGCCAATTAATATAAAAGTAGCAGAATCAAACCTGGAGAGAGTTTGAGGCTTTGGCTCTTGGGAAGTAATGAAACAAGGAAAGGAGTTTTGTCCCATCCCCACAAAAGAAACGTTGTGCAAACTACAGTAATGAGGATGAGAGAGAGTTTTGTAGCCCTCAGCCTCAAAATACTCCCCTTCATCCTCGTGTCACTTAACCTTTTTGCCAAGATCAAAATTGACCCATCAACTAACTAGGATCACCCAGATGAAATCTGAAACAACAAATGTATCCCTAATCATTATTATTGTTATCATACACAATGACACCATTACCATTCAATTTGACCATTTTGACATATTCAATTGGAAAAGAAATTTGAAAATGCACAACACACCTAAGTAACTAAACCTTACAAAATTAAGATCCCAATCCATTAGTTAGGAAATGTTCATTATCATTGCGAGTGTTCAGTACTTATCTTGAAAACAAATTCATGGTTTCTAGTTTATGTTGCCGGTATTCAAGATTAACATGATCAGTATGAATAGTATGACTAGTTTCAACTTCATAATACACCTTACATCATTATATAATCTAAGCAAGTAAGCAAGTTCTAAAACCTCAAAACTTGAAAACGCGCAGAAATACCGAACAAACCCTAAACATCGAATTCTTGTTACAACATTTTACTAATTCTGTATTCAAGTAATGTATGGCATTGTATGCAGTATGCTTTCATGAATTGCATCATATAGCATAGAATACTTCCAAGTGTACAACAACAAATTTAAAAGCTTATGACCAACTAATTATAATGATAAACTCAACATTTGCATAGTAAACACCAAATTAATCTTCACTCGATTTTTTTTCTAACTTAGCACCTTGATTAGTGAACTAATCAAAAACCACCTTAACTTCCATGATTCAAAAAACGAAAAAAAACAAGGGTCTATTAAAAAAAACCCCAAATCACCAGAAAATTAACAAAGAAGTTAAAAAAAAAAACATACAAATCAAAGAAAAATTAAAACTAATGAAGTAAATCAATTTAGGATCTACTGATTCAAAAAGAAATCAAATTAAACTGAAAAAATCAATACAAATCGTTACAATTAGCATGTAAAACAACTACATTCATCATCTAGATATAATCGGCAAAATCAAAGTAAAAGCAATACAAACTAACTAAGATTAAGAGAGTGAAATACCTAAAAGCGAGGAATTCTGGGAGATCGAAAATAAAGAAGTAAGGAGCAAAGAGAATTGAAGGAGGAGAGAGAAAATGCGGGATGTCAGAAATTGAAAGTTTCCTTTGAGTTTCGACCATAGAAGATTAGAAAGCAACAGAAAGATTCAAATAAAGATCATTTTTCTTCTCATTTTTATTGTTCATTATCTTTGTCATCGTACTAGTACTTAATTAGGATTAAAATCTGAGTATTTAATTAGTGGATTGCTAAACACCGCCAACAAAAATGATCACCACCGCCAACATTTGGTGTGAATGGACAATCATACCCTTACTACTTCACCATCCCTTCATCCTTCCGGCAACTCACAACCCCTTCCAACCGGCGATCACAACCCCTTTTGACCGACGACCCACCACACCCCCCTCTATGACAACCCACCACCTTCCCTGGTCGGCGTGAAGGTGGTAGTTTTTTTTTTATTTTAGGCAACCGTGGTAACCGGAGCCCAAAACCGGTTACCGTGCGTGGTAACCGGAGCCCAAAATCGGTTACTGTGGGTGGTAACCGGCTTTGAGCTCCGGTTACCATGCACGGTAACCAGTTTTGGGCTCCGGTTACCGTGCACCTTAATCGATTTTATGGTAACTGATTTTGGGCTCCGTTTACCATACACGGTAATTGATTTTAGGCTTTGGTTACCGCGATTGCCTGAAAATCTGAAATTTAAAAATAAAAAAGATACAAAAAAAGAGGGAAGGTGGTGGGTCACTAGTGCGGTGGTGATCGTCGCTGGTCAGTGTGGTGGGGGTGGTGGGGGTGTTAGTCGTCAATTAGGGTGGTGGTGTCAAGGTGTTATTAGTGATTAATGGCAAGTGGGAAGATAGTAGTGAAGTACTAAGGACTTAATTGTCCATTCACACTAAATGTTGGCGGTTTTGATAATTTTGAATGGCGGTACTTAACACCCCCCTTTAATTATTCAGATTGTGTAGTTGGTAATTTTGGTGTATTAGGTAGTTTTTTTTTTTTTTTGACAAGAAGACCCGAAAAAAGAAAATACACACTAAAACTAGAAGGTCCAACTAAGTAATTGTCGACGACGAGCCTGAGTAGCCAACCAGTGAGCAGGGGCAACCCACTGACGAGGAACCTTGCGAAGTTTGCAGATAGAGAACTGCAAGACATAAAGCCGAATCTCGTAAAGCAACCAGTGGCAAAAAATATCTCCGTTACCACCATCTCGCAGAAGAGAAAAAAGATTCGAACAATCAAAGTAGATAAGAAGACGACGAAAGCCCCGACGACCGGCAGCCCGAAGAGCCCACAAACATGCCTGTAACTCAGACTGAAGGGCCGAAGAGGAGTGACAGGCTCTCGAGCCACCTCCCAACGCGGAATCTGAAAACACTTCCCTAAAAATCCAACCTGCTCCTGCACTAAGATTCTGAGCATTCCAGGCCCCATCAAAAAGAAGGCAAACATCAAAGGTAGAGGAAAAATCACCCTGTATATAACATGAATTAGAAGCTACCGAACTAGTGAGAGATGAATTCCTTAACGAGCGAACAAGGGACCTGAACCCTTGCGCTAAAACACTCCTAGAGATCCAGTCCTGCATCAAATGGAAAATCACGCCAGGAGACAATACTGCTTGTCTAAAAATTTTGTGGTTACGTGCAATCCAAACTGCCCAACAAAAGGATACAAAGGAGACCAAACCATCCCAATTTTGAAAGGAACGAAGCTCAGAGATCGTATCAACAAACCAGTCAGTAAAAGGCTTTTCATGCAAAAGTGGAGATGAAAAGGCAATCGGAGCACTGGCCCAGAGATGAGAAGTGATTGAACAATCACGAAATAGGTGGTCTGTTGTTTCACGTTCTTGGTAACAAAACACGCAAGTAGGATCAATCGGAATCCCTCGGAGCTGCAGAGTCCCAGAGAGAGGCAGAGCATTGTGAAGCAATTTCCAACAAAAACACTGGAGTTTTGGCAGTAGAGGCAACCCCCAGAAGTGCTTCCACCAAGAGGCCGGAATTGTACCCGAGATCCTGGAAGACACCGAATGACTTAGCAACATTGCGTAAGAAGACTTAGTAGTGAAAGATCCATTCTTAGAAAACTTCCAGTAAACGAAATCGTCCATTGGCTGAAGAGGGCGATCCAAAGCCATGATGCGAAGTGCTGTAGAAGTATCAAAAAGCCGATGACCTAAAGTCGAATCCCACGCGTAAGAACGCGGATTAATAATAGAAGAAACATGTGTCGGAGGATCCGACACACCAGAACCATCACGAAAACAACAGGCCCCTTTGGGACCCAATCATCCTCAAGTATCCGAACCTTAGAACCCGAACCAACCTTCCAAGCAATACCCCGATCAAGAGTGGACATGCCCATTAAAAGGCTGCGACAACCCCAAGAAGACCGAGGAATCGTCCGAGTCTTAAAAGAACGAAGGGAAGGATACTTAGCAGTAAGCAACCTCGAAACCAAAAGCTGGGGATGTTGATGAATGCGCCAACATTGCCGAGCGAAGAGCGCAGAGTTAAAGCTTTCCAATTGACGTATACCTAAACCTCCCAGCCCTTTAGGCAAATGAAGAAGAGCTTTCAAACGCATCGCTAAACCTCGAGATTGAGAATCTGGTTTCCACCAAAATCGAGCCAACAAGTTATCAATGCGAGAACAGATTGAAGGAGGAACTTTAAACACCGATAAAATACGATTGAAAGAAACGACCAAAATCGAATTAATGATTACTAATTTAGCAGCAGAAGACAAACCAACATCCACAAAATTAGAAAGTCGCTTAACCACTTTGTCAATCAGAAAGCCAAAGTCAGCCACCTTACTGCGACCGAACTCAACCGGTAACCCCAAATAAGAACCAAGAGAGGGCTTGCAATGAAGTTTCAAGCTACTAGAAAGATAATCCCGATAATCTTCCGGCGTATTCGGGCTAAACTTAACGAATGACTTTTGTAAGTTAATCACCTGCCCCGATAACCCGCAAAACTCAATTAGGAGAGCCATAAGATTGTCACATGATGTAGGAGACACCTGTAAAAACAACAAGGAATCATCCGCGAAAAATAAATGAGAAATTGAGGGGGCACCCCTGGAAATACGGACTCCCTGAATAAGAGAATCTCTTTCGGCCTTCCTAAGCATCGCAGAAAGGACTTCCATACAGAGGACAAACAAATAGGATGAAAGCGGATCCCTCTGACGAAGCCCACACTGAGGCTGGAAAGCTGGGGAAGGATTTCCATTGACTAGCACCTGATAAGAAACTGTCGAAACACATTGACTAATTATATGAATCCAATAAGGTGGGAAGCCGTAAGCCTGTAGAACCCGAAGTAAAAAATCCCACTGAACCCGATCATAAGCTTTATTCATATCCAACTTGAGAGCTGCATAGAGCCTCTTCTTGGCCTTTGAATTGTTCATAAAAGAAATTACCTCATGAGCAATCAACGCGTTATCCGATAAAAGACGACCTGGAACAAACGCGTTCTGGTAATCAACCACCAAACTAGGCAAGATCAAGCGAAGCCGACCTGTGAGACACTTAGCAACACACTTATAAATCACATTGCAGAGACCAATCGGCCGAAACTGAGAAATTAGTTCAAGATTTTCTACTTTCGGAAGCAGAACAAGGAAGGTACGATTCCATTCTTTTAACATATACCCATGAGAAAAGAAGTGCTGAACCGCCGAAGCAACAGACGAACCAACGTCAGACCAGTGGGCTTTAAAGAAAGCTGAAGAAAATCCATCAGGTCCTGGAGATTTGTTGTCATCGATACCAAAAATAGCACTCTGAATTTCCTGAGCAGAAAAAGGAGCCATAAGAAGTTGTTGCTGAGCTGAAGAGGGAGATGGTAATTGCAACTGATCCCACCAATCAGAATCTTGAGTAGAAGCATCGCTTGAGACTGAATAAAGATCTTTATAAAAATTCAATGATATAGAGGCGATGCACTCAGAATCTCTTTGCCAGACACCAGCCGAGTCTCTCAAACCACAAATCTTATTTTGACGACGTCGAGATTGCACCAAGGAAAAAAGGAGACGAGAATGAGAATCCCCTAATGCATCCCATTTCATTTTCGCACGTTGACGCCAGAAGAGAAAAGCTGCTTGTGCCTCTGCAACTTTCTCGTCCTTAGTAATGATAAAAAGACAACGATTAATGCGGGAGGACAATGCCAAAGAAGCTTGTTGAACTTCCAAACCAGAGTCTTCCAATAATCCTCCACGCCTTCTTATGAGAAATGCACCAAGCTAGCAATCGTTCTCTAACAACTGATAATTTCCGAGATAGAGAAAACATTGGAGAGCCCGGGAAGAACAAGGTGATAGCAGTGTGTACTATTTCACGAACCTCAGAGGCCGACAAACACCAGTTTTCCACCCTGTAAGGATGCTTTACATATCCTGATTCCACTTTATCCGAGAGAATAATAACAGCGTGATCCGAAAACAAAATAGGTTGGTGTAAAACTCTTTTGACAAGATAATCTAGCAACCAAGCGGAATAGGCGTAGGCCCTATCTAGCCTTTCAAAAATCGGATCTGAATCAGTCCTATTATTAGTCCAGGTAAACTTTGGACCAGAATACGGAACATCAACCAAATTCAGCCCCATGCGCCAACTAATAAAATCCATCTGTCCTGGAATAGATGAGCTACCCCCCAATTTATCCGAAAGGTATTCAACTTGGTTAAAGTCGCCGATCAAGACGACATTAGGAATGGTTTCAAGAATATTTGTAATCAAATTCCAAACCTCCGAGCGAAAAGAAATGTGAGGCGAACCATACACAAACATTATATGCTTAATTTCATCTCCTTGCTCCAATTTACATAGAAACACATTCTGAGAAATATACACAGGAACCAAACCCAACGGAGTAAACCAAAACACAAACAGGCCACCACTAAGGCCAACAACATCCACACCACTACAACCCAAAAAGGACAAAGGAGCTAACTTTTGTGCAACATTATCAACAGACACCATAGTTTCTAAAAGACAAACAATATCCAAACCATGAGAGCGGACTAGAGAAGAAATATAAGGAATTTTAGGGGAGTCCGCTGATCCCAAGCCCCTACAATTCCAAACACCGACTTTCATTTAGACTTTGGTGACCCAGTACGGGAGGTCACCGATCCCTCAGAAGTTGTTGTAGATGCTGAAACCGAAACTCCTTTGCGTTTCTTATAAGGTAGTAAGCACGAAAAACAACCAGTTTCCTGCAAATTCTGAAGTTGTAACTCAGCTAAAAGTGGTGTAGAAGGTTCAACCTCACTACTCAACCGTTTCTTGGTACCGTGATGTGTAACCCATTCCCACATCTTGTCTCCTCTCCTCCGCTTCTTCAAACCATAACATGCTATTTTCCTAAAAGGAGGTTTTGGTTGTTTGAGAGGTTGTGATTTTTGTGAGGAAGTGGACACATTAAACACCCTAGACTTAAAATTAGGTAGGAATTTTCTAGTAGGTGAGAAAGTAGGAAGAGTTGGTGTGTCGCTGGTTGTTGTAGGAATATGATGGATATAAGCTGTGGAGTTGGAGCACAATTTCCTCTTTTTCGAAGGGGAGAAAGATTGAGTAGCAAACATAAGAGGCCTCTTCTTTGATTGGCTACTCTGGGATTGGTGTAGGACAATGTCCTTAAAAATACTCCGAAGATTAACTCGAGTAGTTTTGAATTTTTCAGTCCTTTTTAGGCCAATGTTCGAGTTGGAGAGCTTATGGTCAAGATCAAAAGTAGAATTACAACATCCAAATTTGTCATACACCAAAGGAATAGTCTTATCAGAAGACGAAACACAAGAATTCTTCCTGTGACCAACTCTATTACACTTAGAGCACAAAATAAACAAGTTCTCATATTTGATATTAATCCATTTAAACTCAGAGTTTCCGAGGTCCAAGAAGAAACCTGGTAATAACGGTTCAAAAACATGAATTTGGAGCTTTACTCTAAGCAAGCATCTAATTGAACCCGAAGAGTGTTTATCAGTACACAAAATATTTCCAGCCAAAGAAAGCATCGGTTGTACAACATCATACGCGCATAAATTCAGAGGTACCTCATCAAGGTGTACACATATAGCAGCCTCATTAAAACTAATATCTTTTGTAGAATCACCTGGAGTCCATGGTTTGAAGACAAGAAGAGCCGCCTGGTACGCTGCAGATCCCTGCTCCAACATGGCGTCTCTGTCTCGAACGTCTTCACACAAAAACAAAAAAGTATTATTGAATTTTTGAACAGTGATATCCCCAAATTTTATCCACTGCTCTGACACCCATTCTTGGATGCGTTGCTCTGAATATCGACGATAGTCTACAAACTTGCCGAAAACCAGGTGACGATGGAAATTGGAATTTTGGGGTGGATAAAAAGACGGATTCAGACTTGTGTTGTCGGAAAATTGAGATGAAGCCATATCTACTGATAAAGGGGAAGATGAAAACAGGGTACTCGTAATCGAAACCCAAGAAACTCGAACAGAGTATCGAAACCTAGGGAACACGAACAAAGTATATATATAAAAAAAAAAAAAAAAAAAACCCACTAATTAAAGAGCTTGTGTTGAAGAAAATTGAACTGAATTTTTAAAAAACCTAGCTACAAAGAACAAGATGGTGGAAACAGGGAGTAAACTATGAGGACGAGCGACTCCAACTGTATAGCACAAAAAAAAAACGAAAAAAAACTAGAAGTACAAGTACAACAACTAATGTTCAAAGCAAACTTCTTTTGGTAGTGAGGGGGATCAGAAATGGGGGATGAATAATCTTCCTCTTCTTACTAATCTGAGACCTGCAATTAGAAAACATGTTAGTAGAAATGATAGAGGCAGCACTACTCGGAAACATCCTTCTTCTCTTCCCTGCATTCCGTTGTCGAAAATCCTTCCTTGTAACTGAACATCGACTTATCCTCCTCGAATTGCCCTTGGATTTGCAGAAGAAATTGAAATTGATGGGGAAAGTAGAAGATAAATTAAATGAGACAGTAGTGATTTCTATAGAAGAGTGGACCTCTTCTTTGCGCTCAACATCACTTGGATTTCCATATAGGGTAGTTGTAGAACACCTCTCATTTGTCACATCTGTAATCTCATGATCCTCCTCTTGGTTTCCCGCGCCTTTTTCAAAGCTCGAATTTGAGTTGGTTGGTTCATCAATTGGAGGCCTCACTGCCTTTACCACTATGAAAGAGCCTGATCTTGGGTCAAAGTAATGAATGGGTTTTCCACGAGCCAACCGTTCATAATCCTTCTCGGAGGTTGAAATAATGGAGCTCTCAGTCGGTTTTGAAACCGAAATTTAGGCTCCGCAAAATCGGTAACATTGCCGTGATTTGAAAAATCGTGACAATGGGAGCTCATAGAGGGAGCCCAAATTCCTCTTGTCTACTAACTTCTTTAACCAAGTAAGCAGCCTCTGTAGTATGTTTCTTTTGCTTACTACTCATATCACCTTGCCCATTTACCTCGTCACCATCGACTATATCATTGCTCCTAAGATCCTCAACGCGGCTTTTTATGGGATGTAGTCCCACACCCAATCCAATTGGAGAACTAGAACCTTCACTCAACAAAGCACGAGTAGAACAAGAGCTATCCTGAAAAGAAGATTTGACTCTCTTTCCCTTGTTGTTCATCGACCCACACAACTCTCTTGCCTTGACCTTTCCATTTGGCTTGATCCTTAATAACTCTTTCACGGTGTCAATCTCCCTTAAAATATTGGGGGTTTTGGATCGGCCCTTGATGCACAACTCAAATCTTTCATGGCCTCCTCCAACCTAATCATCCCCTTCCAACTAAGAGCTCTTCTATATAGCGCTTTCACATTATTTGGATCAAATTCCAAAGCAAGAGAACATATATCCTTGGAGCAAACAAATTAATATTAAGTGAACAAAGAGCAAGATTGAGATTCAAGGAAGTAGCAAGCTCATATTAGAACCCTCTAACTTTCTGTTTTCTACGATGAGCCCCCCCTTTTGAGAAATCCACATTGTAATCCCAAGATATCCCCCAAAACCTTTAATAGAACCATTTCCAACACGCAAATCGATAAAAAAATATTATTAAGTGGTGAGTGGGCCCACTAATGAAATTTGTTAACGGCGGGATAACGACAAGGTTACCGTATAGAAACTAAACGTATTTTGGGGTTACAATGTGGGTTTCCCAAAAAAGAGGAGCACATCGTATAAAACGAAAAGTTAAAGGGTTATAATGTAGAAAAACCCTTGTATATTTGTATGGACGGCTGAGCACACTAAAACGATGCTATTCATATTACTTCCTCCATTTTATTTTTGTTGACACGTTTCCTTAGTCACATTTGCCAATGCACAAATTCAACTATTAATATCTTTAATTACCGATAAGTAAAAATTATGAAAGTTAATTTTTTGAAAATATATATTGCGACAAATCTAATAGAATCCCACATGATGACTATGCTTTTCATTACCTATAAAGCACAAAACACGGTCAAATAAGAGTGTGTGTGGATAATGCTAAAGTCAAAACATGTCAACTAGATTAAACAGAGCTAGTATTAGCCCGGGAGCTGGACAAAATTAGCCCATCACTAACATTTGAGAGTTGAGACGACGAATATATTGAATTATTGTCTGCTTTTTCGGCAAAGTTTAATACAGTATAAATCAACTCAAAACCCCATTACTATAGGAAAACACTTCAATTTTCTGGGTTTCTTACATTCTTCGGAATTATAATTCCATTAAAAAATGGCGAATAATTCCAATCACAGCGAAATTCATGCTCTTCAATCAATCTGCTACAAGCGTGGTTCACTTCAGCTTCTCGATCAGGTTCACTTTCTCTCTCCTGCAAATTCACATACTTTATCAATTTCTTCTAATTATTGTATCATATAATTTGTGAAAATCCCTAATTATGCTGTAAATTGCTGTTGATTTTTAACAGAGGAAGCTTCCTTTGGAAACTGTCTACTTGGATATTAAAAATGCTTCTGATGGATGGTATTTCTGTTAATCTTTGTATTTAATTATACTCGTATTAATTATCTATTGACTTTGATTGAATTTGATATTGGAACTTTGTTACCATGTTTGTAAGATGCACAAATGGTAGAAATTAGCATGTATTATGGGGTTGCATAAATTTATGTTTAACTATGTACTGTATTGTATATGAAGATGAGCAACACTTTATGGCCTGGTTGTAGAGACATTACCCCAACTCCGAATCATAGACTTGTCGAGTTCGAGTCTCATCGCGGTGTACTATATGTCTATCTGGTTGGTTGAATGTGAGAAATTCGAATTTCTAGGAAGGGTTTTTGATTGCTCTCAATAGTATTTATTCTACTTGAGAGCAAAAGATGTGAATCAATTGTATACATAGCTTGAGCTGCTTGACTATTAGCTTATTAAGTGATATAGCCGCCCGAGTGAAGAAATTTCCAAATTTATAGTGGAAAACCTATCTCAAGTAGCAATGTGCAATATATATAGCTTCTTTTCATGAACTTAGATAATTCCTGAGAACCTCAATTTATTGGATAAATTCAGTACTATTGCCAATCATCATTACTACTCGCTGTTTAGATGCCACTAAGCTTTAGGAAAAACTGATTGTCATTCTTTCTTCAATTATTATAGGATATACTTGTCATTCTTACGCAATGTCTTCTTCTAATTCAGGTTTGCAATTAAAGAAATGGTGGTTCGTGGAGCACCAGCAATTGCAATTGCAGCTGCCCTCTCTCTGGCCGTGGAAGCTGTTAACTTAGAAAAATTCCAAGGGACTGCTGATGATGCTGTTTCATTTCTTGCACAGAAATTGGATTATTTAGTCTCTAGGTTTGTTGCAAGTTGATCATATAAACCAAATCTTTGTTTGAATCAAATTTTTCTGTGTTTGCCTTCTCAAATTGGTGTGTTACTGTATATGCTGATTTTGCATTCATCGTTTATGTATGTATAGCCGTCCAACTGCTGTAAACCTTTCGGATGCTGCCACAAAACTTAAAGAAATCATTGTCAAAGCTGCTTCCACGAGTTCAGAAGCAAATGTTGTATTTCAGGTAGGATAGCTTTTTCCTCTTGTACTTTAGATTCGCTTATAATATCTTAAATTCATTAAATTCTCTATAATGGTGTCCCAGGCTTACATAGAAGCTGCTGAAATAATGCTTGAGGATGATGTTGCCTCAAACAAAGCAATTGGTTCTTATGGAGCTAGTTGCTTTGAAAGTCAGTTGAAAGATGCTAAGAAAATATCCATATTGACTCATTGCAACTCTGGGAGGTATGTTGTTTCTCAGACATCATGATCCCTGATTATATTTGTATCAAGCTATCTAAGCATGTTCCATCAGTTAGTTATCCAAAAATGTTGCAATATTGCAACATAAACTTTCCTATAATTTCTATTGGATGTCATTTTTATTTGATTTTGTTGAGATTGCTATGGCTTTTTCTTAACAGCCTTGCAACCGCTGGATATGGTACTGCATTGGGGGTAATTCGTGCAGTCCATGCCCAAGGAATCCTTGAGAAGGCCTATTGCACAGAGACTCGGCCATTCAACCAAGTAAGTTCATGTGATGTACCACACTCAAAATGTTAATGGCTATCAACTATCATACACATTACAAAAGCACAGGCCAAAAGAAAAAATGTTGACCCTGGAACAGTTGATGCTGTCTAACAATTTTGGACAGGAGGTATCTTATGCTTCCAAACACCTTTTAGCTTTTGGAAATCATAAGTGTGTGATAATATCATAACAGCCTGCTCGTGTTTTGAGCTTGTTTGCATCATTATCTAATTTCCATATAGAATTTATTTTGTATTAGAAATATGTGAGCATCCAGCAAATTATGTCAAGCCTAATAGCACAGTATGAAGTAGTGAGGAAAACTCAGTTTCTCCATGAAGGTTGCTCCTATGCTGTAGAAGGAGTGTCGATGGGTGAATAGGTCTAAGTGAATAAGTAAAATAATTGAATAGGCCAGTTTAAATTTCTGATTAATTGTTTTTTAAAATATGGGCAAAAGTTTAGTCATATTATGTGAAATAACAATTGTAACATTGTATCATTGTTTTTTAAAATATGGGCAAAAGAATAAGCATATTATGTGAAATAACAATTGTAACATTGTAAGTCTAACAGAATTGTATAGCAAGTCAGAGAAGAGTCAAAGCAAGTAGTTCGATTTTCATTATGTCATTTCACAATTGTTAGGCTCTTGTGTCTATTGCCCCCCCCCCCACCCCGCGGTTTATATGGTCCCACCCATTTTCTCCCAGCTACGCTGATAGCAGATTCTGCAGCAGCAGCCTTGATGAAGGCTGGACGTGTTCAAGGAGTCATTGTAGGAGCAGATCGTGTGGCTGCGAATGGTACTCAGGATTGTTGAAATTTATTGTGGCATGGAGGGCAGTGGGTAGTGTCATTTATTGATTTTATATGCTCTTTGCAGGAGATACTGCCAATAAAATTGGAACTTACAGCCTTGCTGTGTGTGCAAAGCATCATGGTATTCCATTTTATGTTGCTGCACCTCTTACTTCAGTCGATTTGTCCTTGCCTTCTGGAGAATCCATTATCATTGAGGAAAGATCCCCAAAGGAATTATTGAATTCTCGTGGAGGACTTGGAGAGCAAGTTGCTGCATCTGGAATCTCTGTTTGGAATCCAGCCTTTGATGTTACTCCAGCAAATTTAATATCTGGTATCATCACAGAAAAGGTTGATATTTAACCCCTACACTTTAGAGGCGTGGTGGTTTGGATGTTTTGTGATGTTGCTTATATTAATGTAATTTTGTATCATTTCATCAGGGTGTAATTACAAAAAGCAAGGACGAGGATTTTGACATCAGAGGTTTTGTGCAAAAAATGATAGCCCAATGAGAATTTTTGGAGACCAGAGCCAGCTGCTAGTTAGAAGGAGCTGTGAGAAACGATATATTGAATAGGTTTGTAACCCTGATACTTTTTCTCATAAGGAGTAATATCCATTTTCCCAAAAATGGAAATAATTGCATCATAATATGAGTTTATTCTTGTGATTGTACGGCAGCTATAAACAGTTTGAGTAGTTCGTATTATATATATATACAATTATATATTGTGAAGGAATATATTAAAAAATATTTTAATGATGTCTATATTCTTGAATCTATGTATATATGCTCATGTGCTGCATTATATTTTGATTAGCAAGCTAAATAAAAAATTATGCTCACTGGAGGTGGTGGTAAGACTGGTAACTCAAGCCACTGAGATGATTTTTTTTCGATTATTAATGCTCTTAATTTGGCTTTTTACTTTCTGAAGACTTTATTTCTGTTGGAATTTGGCTTTTGGAAAACACATCCAACAGTGAACAACTCGCAACCACTCTATAGAACTTTTCCTTAATGTTAGGCTTGCATTCTAGTCCTGTGTTATTCAATCTCTTGAACACCCTGAAATGGTACTCTGCATGATCACTATGGATGAAAACTATGTTGTTGAATGAATGCAGAGTACTATGTATACAGTACAAAAAATTGTTGTAAACAGAAAATATGTGTAAATGTTGTACACTGATGTTAGGAAAATCAATGCGTGTTAACCTTAAAGTGGATGATTATTGGAAGTGCTCATAATTTAATTTTGATTTTGATTTTTTTATTTTTTGAATTTTTTTTTTTTTTTCCAATGAAGTATTATGGTCATTATGGATGAAAATTATGATAGATGGAGTCATGGATGTAAGTCATGAGGGGGGTAAAACTCTAATTCTCACAAGAACATAAGGTCTCTTTGTAGTTGCAACTAGGCCTGTTCACGGATCGGATATCCGAAGACTCGGATATCAAAAATTGATATCCAAATCCGATTTGAAAAATTCGGATCCAAAATTTTCGGATCGGATGCTTCAGATATCCATTATCCAATATTACGTAAAATTGTTATGATTACTTTCGAAATTTCACTAATTTTACCGTTTTTTTATCGCTAAGTTGTACAAAATATTTTAACAAAAATAGTAGTCCTTTTGCAATTAATATTATCATCAAATATATTAAGAATATTACAATAAGTTAATAATACAGGGTTAGTTTTATATGAACAATTTAAAAATTATATTATTTTAGGCTTTATATTTCGGATATCTTTCGGATATCGGATATCCGAAATTTTGAAAATTAATATCCAAACCGCATCCGATATCCGCTTTTTCGGATCGGATATTCGATCCGAAATGAAAACTCGGATCGGATATCCAAAAATTCGAATCGGTTGCGGATCAGATTATCGGATTCTCGGATAGTTTTGTACAGGCCTAGTTGCAACGAGTGATGTTATTGGTTAACAACCAAGCTAAGAAACACTCAAATTAAATTTAATTACAAAAAAAAATTCATTAATAATTAATGAACCTCCATGGTATTTATAGGCCAATCTCCAACCTATAAAAGTAAGAATGAAGATCAACAAAAGAAAATATAACATTCACCTATATAATAAAACTCCTTAGTCAACTAAGATTCGACCAAGTCAAGCCTTGATCAAATATGAAAATTACACTAAACCAAGAAGCAATCTCACGGCTAAAATGAAAATAATTGAAGACAAATAAATTAAAATCCTGAGTTCCTTTCTTAAACAAGAAATTTTTTTAAGTGAAAGGCAATAATAAAAAATCTATACTTAAACTTTAAGAAACTTCCAAGAACCTTCTAGAAACTTCAAAAATCATGCATTTCCTGATAGGGAATCCGGATCCCTGTAGAATGACCGATGGATTGGTGATGATGGAGGTTGTACTACTTGTAGAATGACAGAAGATGGATTGGTGTTGGTAGTTTTGTTTCCCTTTCCCCTTCTTATGTCTATAAGAACATTTTCAGACCCTTATTTTCTATCTCCTTGTATCCTTTTCTTCATTCCTTCTTGAAATGACCTCTAAAATATTTCTTTTTTATTTTTCATTGTTTTAATAGAATTGTACTAAAGATGACGCCCAATGATAAAGAATACTATCTTAATCAGAATTGCCCTGCACTTTTATATCCTGACAAAAGCATACTATATATAGTCTTGCAATCTACAATCATAACAATTAGAAATGAAAATAAAAAAAATAACAATGTGTCTATCCTAGACTAATAAAGCAGGGTCTTCTTCTTCATCTTGATGTGGCTGCGGTGAGGATGGGATGATAGGCAAACCCATGGAGAGAAAGACAGAGAGAGCGGCATAAAGGCGGATGAAAAGATGTCTGAGAAAGCTGCGAGAAACAGAGGGCCAAAGAGAGAGGAGCAGGATCCATGGGTGGAGATACAAAAAAACAGGGGTTGGACATAAGACAGAGAAAACGAATGCAATAGTAATGAGTAAGGACCATCCATCTTGGAATCCAATTCGTAAGAGGGTGAGAAGGTGACCATTGTCATCTTTAGTAAAACAAATCTTCAAGGAAGTGGAGAGATAGGCAAGCGTTGTAAAACAATTCTGAAGGAAAGCTTTGAGGAGAATTTGTGGGCAGGGATTGATGTGATCATAGAAAATGTATGCTAAATAAGGTCTCAAAAATTGGTTGACAAGAAGTAAAAGAACCCATCTTAGATCATAGTAGTATAAGGATTCCAAAGAATGTTCAAGCTGGGGTGCTTGGTTTTGCCTATTGTTGGTCCTGTTGCAGCAAAAAACCCGACAGATTAAGATCTTGAAGGAAGGCCAAATACAGAGGAGTATGATAGAAGGGTAAAAGTAGTGAAATATAGGAGCTGGACAGATGAAAGAGAATACGAGGGTGGTAATGAGGGGGAAGTGCTGCCTTTGCCCATACTGCACTACCAATTCGATCCATAGAATAATGAGGTAGCAATTATCAAGCTTATATAAGTACGTCTTGAAGGATAATACAAGGAAAAGGATCAATGCTGCAGTAAGCAAGGTAAGTTTGAAGAGGCTTTGTAAGGAGGGATAAGAGGAAAAGAAGAGGAAAACTTCTGGCCTAGACATATTGATGATAATTAAGAGGATCCATTTTAGTTCAAAATAATTAACTTCTTGATTTGACTGTTTTCAGGCATATTTTAGTGGTTTTTTTTAGAAGAATGATGATTTTTTTTTTTTAGAATGCGAGGCTGTTGAGTTTACGGTTTCCCTGCTATCCGCCTTTTAAATGCAAGTGCTGAAACATGTTATTACCTATGACCTTCAGCTGGTGTCATCCCTTTTAAAAGTTAAAAACATTATCAATTGGCATCGAAGAAATTCCTATGTGGATCCTATATGACGTAATATGCCACTAAGTGCACATTTTCAACCGAACTCAACTTTAGTTTTCTACCTAACTTTATTTTTCCAGTTTGTAGTAGTTTAGTTTAAAACCTACAAGTTTTTTGTTTGTAGTTGTTTGTTCTTTTGTTTTGGTTTGAGATAAAATGTTTTCCTGGAAAATAATTTTCTCATCTTTTCCATTTTTCTTTGTTTGGTTTGTGAATGGTGGAAAACAATTTTTCCCAATGTTAAAATGCATCATTAATGATGAAAAACATTTTTCTTTATAATACAAATGTAGTCAGAATTTATCTTCTTTTTATTTTCCTTTCATCCATCCTCACATTCTTACTCTTATATATATATATATATATATAGATACTTTTTTTTTTTTTTTTTGTACTTTTCTTTAACTTTATTTGTATTGTATGCAACTAATAAACAAAGAAAAAATAAATTGCAATTGTACTTTTACTTGAAAAAATGTTTTACATCAAATTAAATTAAACCGTGCCTCAATGTGAGCTCTATCTTTCATTCTATAATAAAAGCAACTTCCACTTTGAATTTTACATCGTAAGTATGTTTAAAAAAAATTTATTTATGTTGGTCATTTAAAAGAATGATCTAACCGAAATCCAAAAACCTACTATATAAGATTTATCTTAATGCATGCTTGTTTTCAAAGCATCAACTTTTTGGATTTGTATATTTTTCTTGCCTTTAATTAATATCTCTTTAGTTTATTGTTGTAAATTCCATTTAAAATCTTCATTTTGAGGAGTGAAAAATTTGGACTATGAACATTCTTTGATAAAGATACCATAAATTGTGAGATTAATTTTCACTCTAAGAGTCTAAGGTTCTTTGGGATAGAAATTCTCTTACCCTGTCCCTTAACTTCTAGAGAAACATACCTTTAACTTAGACTATATTGATTTGTGAGAGATTTCGGATTGATGGAAACTCTCATTACCACTTTTTAAATTTTTTTTTTCAATTCTTCCTTGTGCCCAAAGGAGTATTAGTGGAATATCAAAGTATTCATTTTGGTTAAAGAGTTGATGAATAGTTGATTACTTGACTACACAGTAGTAAATTTTTTCCTTTTTTAGAGGATAACTTGATTACGTAAGTTCAAATAAGAAGATTGATTACGTGCCATAAAGTCGTTTCTTTTGAATAAAAAGGAGTAAAGGGGAGAGCTCGTACAGGGTTCAATGGTTTGATTACAAAGATTGCATAAAATATTTCTTTCTTGTGTTTGAAAGAGTGGGCCAATCAGTGGGGTCTATTGTATGGACTGCACTACATTACAACATTCACCAATGAGTCAATGACTAATGACATGTAAATTTAAGATTTTTCTTTCTTCTTACTCCGTATTATTGCGACTTTGCGAGTCTAATAAAATTAAATGAGAAAATAGACTTATAAGTTGTGATAAAATTAAATTAAGGTTAATTAACTTTAAAATTAGGGCTAATCCGTAGTAAGTTCCAATAGGGTCTAGCAATATCTTGGGTGATTTCCATAGAAAATGCTCAAAATACTGAAATTTCCTAATTAAACCCTTTTTACAAAAAAATTCCCTCCATACTGTTCATATATATATATATATATATATATATATATATATATATATATATATATATATATATATATATAGGAAGGCTCATGTAAGAACCCTCCTCTATATAAGAACCCAATCTTATATAAGAACCAATCTCAGCCCTTTATTAGTTTTGATCTAACCACCTAAAATGATCCTTT